CCTGTATCAGTAAGTAGAGGCCGAGTGGGACTGGGGCTGGGTGTGTGTGTGGCAAGGTGGGGGAATGAGGAGGAGAGAGGAAAAGGGGTGGGAGCTGGAGTCACACCGGAGAAGGAGCAAGTGTGGATGTGCGTGTACCTGCATATGCATGCGTGTACATGTCCATGTGTAGATATGTGTGCAAATGTGTGTATGCATATGTGTGTGCATGAACATATATGTGCGTGTGTGTGTTTGGAGCGAAAGTCAAGGATGCTACTGTGCCCAGAAGGCTCTACCCGTCAGCACATGGACATGGTGCAGTGACCCAGGGGCGCTGGCCCTAGTTCCTGACTTCTGGCTTGCCCGCTCTGCCCCCTGTGCAGCATGGTCCCCTAGCAGACACCTGCCCTCACCCGCTCCAGTGTCTCTTTCTTTTTTTTTAAAGATTTTTTTTTTTTTATTAAAAGTCACATATACAGAGAGGAGGAAAGACAGAGAGGAAGATCTTCCGTCCGATGATTCACTCCCCAAGTGAACGCCACAGCCAGAGCTGGATGGGAAGTGGAACTTCCAGGATTAGAACTGGCACCCATATGGGATCCTGGCACGTTCAAGGCGAGGATTTTGCCACTAGGCCACGCTGCCGGGCCCCAGTGTCTCTTTCTCTTTAAGGATTTCAAAATTTGTATCTGAGAGGCAAATTCACAGAGAGAGAAGCATGCATGTATGCGTACACACACACACACACACACACACACACACACACACACAGATCTTCCGTCTGCTGGTTCACTCCCAGATGGCTGCAATGGCTGGAGCTGAGCCCACCTGAAGCCAGGAGCATCCTCCTGGTTTCCTACACGGGTGCTGTGGTCCAAGGACTTGGGTCATCCCCGCTGCTCTCAGGCCTTACGCAGGAAACTGGATGGGAAGTAGAGCAACCGGACACAAACTAGCGCTCATGTGGTATGCCAACTCTGCAGGAAGATTAGCCCTAAGTTTCTTCTCTTTTTCTTTATTTCTTCTTTCCTTTCCTTCCCTCCTTCCTTTCTCTCTCTCTTCTTTCATTTATTTGAAAGACAGACTACCAGAGAGACAAAGAAAGAAGAGATCTTCCAGGTACTGATTTGCTCCCAAAATAAATACAACAGCTAGGGTTGAGCCAGGTTGAAGCCAGGCACCAAAAACTCCATCCGAGCCTCTGACATGAGTGGCAGGGACCCAAGCAGGTGGACCATCTGCTGCTGCTCTCCCAGGTATATTGGCAGGGAGCCAAATCAGAAGTGGAGTGGCTGGGAATGGAACTTGTGCTCCAACATGCCAGACTAGTGTGGCAAGCAGCAGTTCAAACTGCAGCGCAATGCCTGCCCCTCGCTCCTCTTTCTTCTCTTTCTTCAATCTATCTCAGTGTAAGACTTTTCTGAGGCCTCAAATGTCTTTGCTTTGCTCAAATGGAAATGTATCCTTCCAGGACCCACCTAGCAGCAGAACAGACGACCGTGCTACCATGTCCCCTGCCTTCCCCATCATGTCTCCAGTCTCTGGGGAAGCACCCTGGGATCCCTTCTGCTTTTGCAGGCAGCTGCTCCCAGCCTCCCTTCATGGCTCCTCCTTGCCCAGGTCACCTCCAGAATCCACGCGTCACGCCCTCCACCTGTGGGCTCTCCCTGGGTGGTCTCAGCCTCTGATTTCTGCCCCCTAGTGCCATTGTCAAAGTAGACATAGCCAGCGCAGAACCAGGAATTTTCCACCCTAGACCTGCTCTTCATCCTCGCCCAGGGGCTCGCATCCCCAACTCATAATCACTTCTGGTCCTCTCTTTCCCCTGACCACTCTTTCAACATATTCAACAAGCCCTACCTCGCACTACCTACAAAATAAACCTTGAATCAGTTCTTTCCTTCTCCCTCATCTCCCGTCGGGGCCAAGCCCCATCCTCTCAGAGTGTGAGTCAGAACCTTCACAAAGAGCCAGCGGGCTCTGTGTGTCACCACTCTGATTTCCATCCTCCCACTGCAGGGCCTTGGCACGTGCCATGCCCTATGCCTCAAGTTCTTCCCATAGCCGTTCTCATCGCTGACCCCTGGGAGTGACTCATGCCCCAGCTGAAATGCAATCTTGCGAGCAAAGGCTTCCCTGGCCACCCTGGCTCACAGAGCCCATCGGCCACAGCTGCCAGGTTTGATATCTTGGTGGGATTTGCCTTAGCTGACTCAATTGTGTAATTTGTGGACTTGTTTACAACTTTACAACATGAGCTCGATGGCGACACCTACTCCGGTACCCGGTCCTAAGACAGAAGCCAACGCACAGTAGGAACTCAGCGTGAATGTACTGAATAATGAGTGGGCAGGAGGGACACGAGTCCTCAGGTCCAATGAGAAGTTAGACTTCAGAGTGATTCCTTGCACCTGCATTTCCTTCTTCCTTCCCAGTCACATGTATAACCATGAACTGGCTAGTGGGAACTGGCTAGCGCAAGAGGGGCAGATGGAAAGTGCAATCTGAACTCCGGCAAGAACACATTCAGTATTGATGGCAGGCTACGCCGGGAGGAAAAGGGAGGGGACAGCAGGGGCCAGTACCCTGCTCCTGAGGGTGTTGCCCAGGTGAGAAGTCCTAGGCAGGAAATGGTGCAGGCATGCAGGGGAGCAGCCGTGGAGTGTCAGACAGGCCATGGGGAGACACATTTCACTGTGTAATAACACCTGTGAAGTCATCGGGCAGGACGAGGGACACTGGTGGGCCGCTCTGCAGTCTCTGAGCAGAGAGGCCAAGCGACTCAAGCGAGGAGGTGACACTAGAGTCAAGGCTTACATGGCTAAAAATAATAAATAAATAAAGAGGCTTGAATGGCTAAAACAAATGAGTGAGGCACAGATACGGGACAAGCACCTTCTGGTGAGGACCCAATGGAAATGAACTGTTAAAGCCAAGTCCAGCGGGAAGATCACAACGGAGGAAGACAGGGTGACAGGGGTGGGAGGCATGCGGGGGGTAGACAGAGCAGGGGCCCCAAGGTCAGGGTGAGGGCTTAGGAAAGCTAGGCTGTTGAAGATCTTCTGGCAAGTTGATGAGGGACGAGCTGATGTGGGCTGGGAACACTGGGGTGGCAGCTGGTGGGTCACAGGTCTGTGGCCTGAGAAATGGTCTGATCAGGAGCAGAGCTGGAAGGAACCACGCAGGCACTTTGGAGGTGGTGCCAGGAGGCCTTGTCGATGGCCACATGGTGGAGGAGATGTGGGTGGGAGGGAGCTGAGCTGGAAGGTCTCTAGGAGCACAACCATTGGGATGGGTACTAGTAACAAGACAGGGACAGCTGATGACATATGGGGTGACAATGTGGAGACACTGGAACCCTAGTGTGCTGTTGGCGGGATGGTGTGGCTGCTGGAAAACTGTGTGATGGTTGGTTAGAAGACTGGGAACTGGTGTTGTGGCATGGCAGGTAAAGCTACCTGTTGTACTGGCATCCTGTATGGGCACTGATTCGAGTCCTGGGTGCTTCACTTCTGACTCAGCTTCCTGCTAATTAGCTTGGGAATGCAGCAAAGGATGGGCCAAGTGCATGGGCACCCGTATCCATCTTGGAGACCAGGAAGAAGCTCCTGGATCCTGGCTTCAGTCTAGCATGGCCCTGGCCATTACAGTCATTTGGGGAGTGAATCAGCAGATGGAAGATCCTTCTGTCTCTTCCTCTTTCTCTCTCTCTCTCTAATGCTTCCTTTTCAATTAATAAGAGAAAATTCAAAAAGAAAAATTAAACTGGAAGGTCTGGTTTTGAGTCTCAGCTTCTGCTAGTGCGAACCTTGGAAAAACAGATATTTCAAGTGCTTGAGTCCTTTTCACTCACATGAAAGACTTGGATGGAGCTCCTGGCTCCTGGCACCTGGTGCCTGGCTCCTGGCTTTGGCCTGGCCCAGCCCCAGGCATTTGGGAAATGCACCAGCAGATGGGAGCTCTCTCTTTCTGTCTGATTCTCAAATAAATAACAAATACAGTTTTTTTTAATTAAAATTTTTTAAAGATTTATTTTTATTATTTATTTATTGGAAAGGCAGATATACAGAGAGCAGAGACAGAGAGGAAGATCTTCCGTCCGATGATTCACTCCCCAAGTGAGCGCAACGGTCGATGCTATGCCGATCCGAAGCCAGGAGCCTCTTCTGGGTCTCCCACGCGGGTGCAGGGTCCCAAAGCCTTGGGCCGTCCTTGACTGCTTTCCCAGGCCACAGGCAGGGAGCTGGAAGGGAAGAGGGGCTGCCGGGATTAGAACCGGCGCCCATATGGGATCCCGGGCGTGCAAGGCGAGGACCTTAACCACTGTGCCACCGCACCGGGCCCCAATTAAAAAATTTTTAAATGATTCAGTGAGTCCACTTCTGGGTATTTGTCCATCAGAACCAATAGCAGGGCTTCCAAGAGCTGTTGGTACAGCCAGGTTCCCAGTTGTGTCACTCACAGTCGCTAATATTGACCAGGGTGACCACTGAAGGCAACTGCATCAACAAAGCATGGTCTATGGCCCACTGCAAAATTAACCTTGAAAAGGAAAGAATTTGTTCCCACATCTACAACAGCGTGGGCAGACCTTGGGACACTGTATGCAAACACAGGGCGATTTAAGAATACTGTGTAGAACAGGGCCCGGCGCGGTGGCGCAAGTGGTTAAAGGTCCTCGCCTTGCACGCCCGGGATCCCATATGGGCGCCGGTTCTAATCCCGGCAGCCCCGCTTCCCTTCCAGCTCCCTGCCTGTGGCCTGGGAAAGCAGTCGAGGACGGCCCAAAGCTTTGGGAACCTGCACCCGCGTGGGAGACCCAGAAGAGGCTCCTGGCTTCGGATAGGCATAGTATCGGCCCGTTGCGCTCACTTGGGGAGTGAATCATCGGACGGAAGATCTTCCTCTCTGTCTCTCCTCTCTGTATATCTGCCTTTCCAATGAAAAAATAATAAAAATAAATCTTTAAAAAAAAAAGAATACTGTGTAGAACAGGGGCTGTAAGGTGCGCCAGGGGCATGGCCTTGCTGGAGGTGGGTAGGGAAAGCCCACCCCTCTGCTGGAGGGCAGACGTGTAGGAGGTGGCAGCATCTGCTGAACCACTGAGTAGGAACTGACTCAGTGTGTCTGCCAAAGATTTATGGGAAAGGAGAATTGCAAGTTTATTTTGCTGCGAACAGCTTTTGCCATCCACACATAGTTTTTCCCTGGCACACATTTTCCATGAAGACCCCTGCAGATGGAGAAATGAGGCAGATACGGTCCTGCTCTCCAGGGACTTAGCTCCCAGTCAGACAGGCAAGCAGCAGGTGCCCACAACATCACTGCAAGTGGTAGATAGCAGCAGCCAAGGGGGTGGGGACCAGGAGTCAGTCACTCAAGACCTCAGCCCACAGGGCTACGAAGTGACTGGTCATAGGCGTTGGTCGGGGAGGATCCCAAGGCAGGAGCTAGTAGGAGGCATGGGAGATTTGGGGCACATCCTTCAGGGGTTGCAACAGGAAGCAGTTTCAGGTTTCCCCAGAGTCTGGGTACAAGGAGAAGCTTGAGGGGAGGGGATCTGCTAAGCCACAGGCCTCCCTGATGCCCCCTGCTGTCCCCACAGGTAAGGAACACCAGGGAGCAGAGGGGGCCTGTGATGGCTACAGGTGCCCAGAGCCTCTCACCGCCTCGCCAGGGCTTCATGAAATGCTTGCTGGAAGTGGAGGAGGAGGAAGAGGCCGCCCACCGGAGAGCCTCAAAGGCCCGGGCCCTGCCAGGCCGGAAGTTTCCTAGGAGCCCGACCCCCGGGCCCATCTCAGCCCCAAGTCTACCCATCTCACTGACACCGCAGACCCCCACGTCAGCTCCTGCCCCTGCCCCTTCATGGACCTGGTCCTTGACCCCTGGGTCTGGCCCTGTCTCCATGGGCGCTGCGGTGGCTGCAGCACCCAACCCCACTCTGCGGGCGCCCTGGAGAAGGATGGAACTCCCACAAGGGAGTAGCGAAAGGACCCTGAGCTACTATAGGGCACGGTAGGGTAGAGGTCCCACCTCCATGGTCCCCAGACAACCTCCGCCCCATCCCTGCACCTGTCTGATTCTTCCCGCATGTCCCCTTGTCACTCTCTCTCTTCCCGTATTATCCAGATCTGTACCTCCTCTGGTCCCCTCTTCTTGTCCCCTTTGGCTTCCCCACCTCCTCAACCTCCTCAACCTCCCCCAGGACTCTTCCTGGCCTCCATTGCCCTCTGCCAGCTCTTGATGGCAGCCGCAGGACAGGGCAGGCAGGCTGCAGGTGACCACTGGCTGGCCTTGGTCCCACAGGCAGGAGCCAGAAGAGCACAGCATCTTGAAGTTGTGTCAGAGCTGGGAGGAGCGGGCCGAGGAGCACCTCACCCTGAGGCAGGAGGAAGGTGAGGATGGCTTTGTACGTGTGGGCAGGTGGGGCGATTTACAGCTCGCGCCACTGCCCTGCTGCCCACCTCAGCGGGCAGAAGGGGCTTCCGGCACCTGCCCCAAGGACACTGAGGGTGGGGAACAGCAGACCTAGGGTTCCCCCAGGCTCAGAGCTAACTCTGAGGGTGACAGAAGCTTTGCAAAGGGCCACAGGTTCAGAGGTATCCTGCTACGCTCCATGCATGCCTACTCTGTTGGGCTCCTTCAGAGGCGTCCCAAGGCGCCTGCTGGTCCTAGGCAGCCTCTGACCCGCTGATGGACTCCCTGCCTCGGCAGGCTCCCACTTCCCACTGCACCTCACGCTCACCCCAAAACTTAAAAATCCTGAACACACACTTCAGTATGTGCCTCTGTATGTGCCTCTGGGGGTGCTGTGACCTCCCTCCTCCCACCCACCCCCAGTCCCCCAAAGTCTATGGCTCTCCTGCCTCCCCTGAACATCCTCAGGGGCCCCCTACCGCCCCAACCTTGAACTTGGCTCCTTTGAGGGTTAAAACCTGCTAACTACTTTGCATGGGAGGGGCCCAGGGCATGTGTTCCAACAGCTCCAGCTGTTGGGGATGTGGGGACTGACCTCTCCAACCACTGATGAGGACCTGGGGACCGCGTTAGAGGGCATGAAGGGTCAGGGTCCCCACCACCATCTCAGGAAAACTGAGGAGCAGCTTGGCACCTGGCGTGTGGTGACCCAGTCAACTTGGCTGCCACCACCCCATGCCGGGCGGCTAAACAGCAAGCATCCACTCAGTTTCTCACCTCCCTGGATGCCGGAAGCCCAACACCAAGGTGCTGGCGGGACTGCCTTCTCACTGTGGCCCCACATACTCTCCCCCCGGTGTGTGCACATCCTGGATCATCCTGGGCATGTCTGTCACCAGTCCTCCTCCACATATTAAGAGACACCAGCCGTATAAGATTAGCACTCAAGGCTATGGCCTCATTTTACCTTCAAGACCTTTCTAAAGGCCTTGGCCCCACACTTAGTCCCAGCTTGAAGGGGTTGGGGCTGCAAGAGGGCTTTGCAGGGAACCCAGTCCGGCCCACTGTGGACAGCAGAGCCAGGGGTCGGGAAAGCAGACAGCACACGTGCTAGAGCAGGCCATGGTTTGGCATCAGCATGCTTTCTGTCTTTGCCCTGGCCCACAGAAGTGGCTGTAGACACCATGGTCAAAGGGCCCTAGGCCCTGTGAACCTCACTTTGCCATCTCCGTAAGGGCGTGTAAGCATGCTGCCCTGGAGGGAATGGGAAAAGACTGAACAAGAATATGGCTACAGAGAGCTTAGCTCACTGCCTGGCACATACAGAGTGCCCTCAAGTGGGGATACTCTGGGTGCCAAGTGGAGACTACTCAGGAGCCCTGGCAGAACAGTGAGTTCAAGGGCACCAGACCGCTCTGTTCCTTTTACTGATTTCTAAAAAGATTTATTTAATTAATTTAAAAAGACAATAAAGAGAGAGACTTTTATCTTGCTGGTTCACTTTCCCAAAGGGTTACAGCACCCAGGGCTGAGCCAGGCCAAAGCCAGGAGACGGAAGCTTCTTCCACATCTCCCAAGGGGTGTGGAGGCCCAACTACTTGGATCATCTTCCGCTGTTTGTTCTGACACAGCAGCAGGGAGCTGGATGGGAAGTGGAGCAGCTGGGACTCGAACCGGTGCCCACATGGGATGCCTTAGCCAGCTGGACCCCACAACACCGGCCTCTCCACCCTTGCCTGTCTTTGCCCCTCCCCATGACCATGGCGGAGGAGGATGCTGGGCAGGAGGGGCTTGGCGTGTCTAGGATGGATGGGGGGAGGGGAAATGACTCTCCCATTCCCACGCCCCACATAACCTGGCCTCCCGCAGCTTTCCGCAGCTACTTTGAGATGTTCAATGGCCCGGGGGAGGTGGACGCACAGAGCCTGAAGAACATCCTGCTGCTGGTGGGCTTCTCCCTGACGCCAGCCCAAGTGCAGGACGCCCTGATGAGCGCTGACGTTGACGGTGAGTCGGGGGAGCCCTGGGAGGGGGGGGTGTCACGTGGGGCTCTGCCCTTGGCAGATTTGGAGTTGTTGAATAATGCTCTGTTGTCACAGCCTAGAAATTCCTAATCACTGCTGACCCAAGGACCCCCTCGCACAGATGTGGGGCAGGCCCAAGCTGTAGGGAGGCAGATGTGACTCGGCTGCCCTTTTCCTAGCTGTAAGCCTCAGGGTCTCCATCTGTAAAATGGGGCCAATAGCAGCACCAAGCTCAGAAGGCCATTATAAAGATGAAATGAAGCAACACAGGCAAAGCAGTCAACACACACTGTCACAGCATGCCCAGGGGGCACTGGCTGCACTTAATTCCTCCAGCCAGTGAAGGGCATCCGAATGCCTGCTGGTGCCCATCCCTGGGCAGAACACTGAGGACCAAGATTGCATCAGGACCAGAAGACCCCACCCTTGACTGAAGAGCTTGCGGGAGGTCACTGCCATCGGGTGCAGGCCAACACACCAGGGGCACCGACAGGGCTTGGAGGACGATAGGGGTTTCAGGAAGGTTTCTTGGAGGAGGTGACACCTGGTAAAAGGTCACGCAGGATTTGGGCCAAGAGAGAAGGGAGAAGGCGTTGAGGATGGCAGAAACAGCTCACGCAAGGTGGAGGGCCTTACCAGTGGCTTGGGGTGGTCGCCCACAGGGAGCACTGGGACCGTCCCCTGCAGCAGTGTACAAGTGTAAGCTCTCTCTCTCACACACGTCCAGAACCCCAGCGCCTGCCTTCATCATCGCTTCTCACCCTTTTGGCTAAGATCAAGTGTAGTACCAGAGTCTTTGTGCCTCACAGCTCATCTGTGAAATGGGGATATGAGTATTGAGCGTCCCCAAGTGACAGCTTTAAGGACTGCAAACCATTCATTTATTCATTTACTGTGCACCTGCCTTAAAAAAATTTTTTTTTTAATTTATTTGAGAGAGAAAGAGAGAAAATCTCATCTTTCCCCTGGCCACTCCCTAAACTACTGCAACAAGTGGAGATGGGCTGGAAGGAGCTTGCATTCAAGACCTGGAGTTTTTATGGCAGACTTCAATTTCCACATCCGTTCTCCTGTGTGCATCATTGCTGCACTGGATTAGTGTTCCTTGTGTAATTAGACCCCAAAAGTAGTGGGCAGGGGCTGCCACGGTGGGACCAGCTCCGGAGGGCCCCACCTACCCTGTCACTCTCAGGAGATGGTCACGTGGACTTCAAGGACTTCCTGGCAGTGATGACAGACTCTAAGCGCTTCTTCTGCTCTGTGGGTGAGCGAGGTCAAACCCCGGGCAGTCGGAGCTGCAGGAGGGGCTGGGAGGCTGGGCTGGGCATGGGAACTGAGGGCCACAGGGTGGTGATGGCAGCCACTATCCCATGTCCCCAGAACAGAATGCCCTGATGGACACGGCTCTGCCCAACCCTCACACTCTGCTTTTTGAGATCCTGTCTCTGCTGGTGGAGATGCTGGCTTTGCCCGAGGCAGCCTTGGAGGAGATCACCAAGTAAGCGGGCTGCTTATCTGAGGGTTGGATGGTGGTGGGCACACAGGTGGCATCCTACATGAGACTTAGGACTCAAGGTGGTATGTGACAGAAGCAAGCCCAGCTAAAACTGGCTTAAGCCAAAGGGCAACATTTTGGCTGCAAAAACTGGTCAGGGCTTCAGGCCTGGCTGGATTGAGCAGACCAAATGGCGCCAGCTGAGAACCTCTCTCAGGCCATTCTTTTCCATGGACCCTGCCTCTGTGTCTCCTGGGTGGGTAGAGAGTGCATGGCTCCATAAGGAAGGAAGCCAGAATGATCCAGACAGCTAGGGCTAGAGGCCAAGGGGCACACGCAGGGCCCAGCCAACCTCCAGATGGCACCATGCAGCTCAGTCCTTAGTGTGCCCTGACCTCCAGGTCCTGTAAGAGGAATACACCTATTCCACTTTTCCAACTCTAGACCAGGCTTTTCCCACATGGAGCAGGGCACAGGCATAAGACAGCAGCCTACAGTATCAACTGAGTAGCCCCCAGGGCAAGACAACTGCTCTCTCGGCATCTTCCCTCAGCACGCACACATCCTCCTGGGGCAGGTGTTGGCACAGCAGACAAGATGCCACTCCCCACGCCGGCATCCCATATCCCAGCACCCAGGTTCTAGTCCCAGCCATGCTCCCACTCCAGCTTCCTGCTAACGTCTACCCTGGGAGGGAGCAGGTGATGGCGCTGGCGCTTGGCCCTCTGCTGTCCACCTGGGAGAAGGCCTGGATTGAGTTCCCGGCTCCTGGCTTTGGTCTGACCCAGCCCTGGTTGTTACAGATATTTGAGGGAATGAACCAGCAGATGGAAGATCTCTGCCTTCTTTCTCTCTGTGTCTTAACAAATAAAAAATTATATAAATGAAAAATTAAAACTACATAAACATAACTCTAAAGAACATAAATGACCAACTTAAAAAGCAAACAAACTCTCATGTGTCTGCCACTCAGCTTAAACCATTTGCAACCACACTGAAACCCCTACCCCGACCACAAACACCTTCACCCTTTTCCTGGGCCTGCTGGCTTTCGATTTCACTGCTGAATTTCTCCTTTGCTATTTGGTGAGGCTTCAAATGCGTAGCCACGTTAGAGCGCTCCACAGTGCACACTTAAGGACACCAGCTGCCTGGACTCCACCATGGCCAACCCTGTTCACCTTGGATTGAGATTTTCTGGTTGTTTCAGTCAGTTATGGTCATTTCCATCACAGTACTTCAGCACACACATCAGCTGGTGACCAGAATTTGTTCAGTATTTGGGATGTTAGCACTGTAGGTGGAGAGGTTGAGAATTAGCCTACCGTGCCACTGCACCAGGCCAAAAGATTTATTTATCTGAAAGGCAAAGAGAGAGAGAGAGAGAAATATCTTCCATTTGCTGACAAACTGTCCAAATGGCCTAGGCTGGGGCAAAGGCAGTACCCAAGAGCTTAAGGGTCTCCCACATGGATTCAAGGACCCAAGCCCTTGAGTTTTCTCCCACTGTTTTCCTAGGTGCACTAGCAGGGAGCTGAATCAGCAGTAGAACGGCTGGTGCCATGCACAGCTTCTATCTGTGACACTAGCAGCCAGGGATTCAACTGGTTCCCATATGGGATGCTGACATTACAGGCAGCAGCTTAATCCATTGTGCCACAACGCTGGCCCCATATCATTCCCTTTCACACACTTAGATGGAGTTTTTCTCAACCACTTGCAAATAAGTACAACAATACATCATGTTGGCCCTATTTCAGTATATGTGTTTTTTTTAAAAAAAGATATATTCATGTTTTTTATTGGAAAGACCAGGTTTATGGAGAGGAGAGACAGGAAGATCTTCCATCCACTGGTTCACTCCCCAAATGTCTGCAACAGTCAGAGTTGAGCTGCTCCAAAGTCAAGAGCCAGGAGCCTCCTGTGAGTCTTCCACAGGATCCCAAGGCGTCTTTGGACCATTCTCTACTGCCTTCCCAGGCCACAAGCAGGGAGCTGGATGGGAAGTGGAGCCAAAGGACACAAACCAGCACCCATACAGGATGCTCACACTTGCAATGAGAGGATTAGCCAGTTGAGCCATCATGCCTACGCTGGGGATGGGGGTTAGGGGTGGGGTGGGGTGGCCTCCAGTCCCTCCCACCATCCCGGCTGGCTGTCAAGGGCTCTGGCTTCCAATTATTACTCCTGCCGCTAGTGCCACAAGGCTTGGCTCAAGCTGTTCCCCTTGGGGGTGGCCTCCACCCCTTTTCTCCCTGGGGCTTCCCTGCTCACAGTTGTCTTGTTGCTATGTTGTCTCTGTGGTCATTCTGGTGTTGCCCCTCACCCCTGACAGGCCTGTGTCCCCCAAGGAGGCTCGCAGGGCACAGAGTGGGGCTCAGGGCAGCATATGAGAGACGAGGGAATGTGAGGGACGTGCCCTCATTTCTTTGAAGTTGCACTTAAGCTCTTGTACTCAGTTAGAGGAGCTGGTGGTTGTCTTGTCTTTCATGTGCGTCTGGCTCTTCATCCTTTCTCTGGAGTCAGCAATGGAGTGGCCCAGTCCCACCACAGGTGTTCCATGATCAGACCACAGATCCACGGGGTGTTCCCCGAGATCAGGGATCCCATAGACCCAAGCTTAGTCATACCATTTAGGGGGCCCACCCCCAGCCCCAGTTCCCGTTCTCCCATATGTATCAGCAGGTGTCCAACTGGTTGGGGGTCTCCCCAGAAGCCCCACTGGGTAATCTGTCTGCTCCAATTCCCACAAGCGCAGGTGGGTGCAGCAGTCTGAGCTGGGACCCAGATCTCCGTATTTCCCAATAATATTTTGTTATACATTCACAGTATCCTACCCATCTTGGGAAAGTTAACATTGACACAACACTGTTATCTGACCTGCAGTCCTTAGTCCTATTGGTCTTGACTTTTGTTCTTAGGGTCAGGGGCAGGAGATAGGGCATCTTCTTCCCCTCCTCCCCTGCCCCAATGCAGGATCCCCTTTTTATTGTTCCTGAAGGGTCCCTACTCTGGTCTTGCTGATGTCCCCTCCCGAGTTGGGGTTCATGGGGACTAGAAAAGTGTGGAGTATGCTCCTTCTGTGTACTGCCTCAGGGAGCCCACAGACCATCTATTCAAGGTGACTTCTGCCTTGGTTGCTCCACTGTAGTTTTTGTTTTACATTTTGTGAGCAATACTTATGCTTTTGGGAGTTCCTTTGTATCATGTAGATGTTTCTCTCTCACACTTGGGCCCCTGCTTCAGCACCCATTGATGACTCATAATTAAATCAGTGATGACTCTAATGTTTGGCAAATGCTGACTTCCTGTCATCCCTCTGCATGTGAGCTGGCACCTGGCTAAGGAGAGCGCTCATTCCCCTATACTGTTTGCTTGTTTCTTGTCACCATCATGGTTTAGGAACTGCCTACTTCTTATAGTCATATTACATTTTGCTTTACAGTTCTTTAAAATAACTTTGAGAGAGAGACACCCAGAGTCAGTCAGGGCTGGATCAGGCTAAAACCAAGATCCCAGGACTCCATGCAGGGATGCAAGCATCTAAGCCAGCAGTGGCTGCTGCCTCCCAGGGTGCGCATTAGTAGAAGCTGGAATCAGAAGTGGAGCCAGAACTCAGACCCAGACTTTAACGTGGGATGCAGGCATCCCAGAGCCAACTTAACTTCTGCACCAAGCATCCACCCCTTACCTCATACTTCAGGCTCAAACATTTGAACTGATAAATTGAATATTTTAGCATCACATTGTAATCACAATGTTCCCTGGTGATATTTTTGTCTTATTAAATGACTGTATCCATTTCTCATAGTATTCAACTTTAAAAATAAAAAAGATTTATTTATTTTTTTATTGGAAAGGCAGATGTACAAAGATCTTCCGTCTGACGAGGAGAGACAAAGATCTTCCGTCTGACGATTCACTCCCCAAGTGGCCGCAATGTCCAGTGCTGTGCTGATCCGGAGCCAGGAACCAGGAACTTCCTCCCAGATCTCCCACACAGGTGCAGGGTCCCAAGGCTTTGGGCCGTCCTCAACTGCTTTCCCAGGCCACAGAGAACTGGATGGGAACTGGAGCTTCCGGGATTAGAACTGGCATCCATATGGGATCCTGGCGTGTTCAAGGCGAGGACTTTAACCGTTACGCTATTGTGCCGGACCCTAGTATTCAACTTTTATAATTTTTATTCTATTATTTAATTTTTAAAATTAGAGGGTGGATGGGGCTGGCATTGTGATGTAATAAGTTGCTGCCTGAAACATCAGTATCTCATAGGGCTGCCGGTTCAAATCCTGGCCACTCCCCTTCCAATCTCAGCTCCCTGCTATGCATTTGGGAAAGCAGTGGAAGATGGCCCAAGTACTTGGGCCCTGCCACTATGCAGGAGACTCAGATGAAGTTCCTGCCTCCCAGGCTGGAGTGTGACTGATCCCTGGCAGTTAGGGCCATTTGGGAAGCTAAAGAACAGATCGGTCCTGCTCTTCCTCTTTCTGTAACTGCTTCTCAAAACAAAATTAGAAGTAGGTATTTGCCCCGGCCCATATCCCACATGAAAGTACCTGACTCAAGTCCCAGCTCAAGCTGCTTGTTGCAGCTGCCTGCTACTGCACACCTGAAGGGGCGTGCCATCTCTGGCACCCCTGAATTCCCAGCTTCTGCTTTCAGCTTGGCCCAACCTTGGCAATTATGGACATTTTGCAGCTGTGCCATCTCTTTCGAATTAAAAAAATAAATGGATGCTTAAAAACATTCATTTATTTGAAAAGCTGGAGAGAGATTGTCTCCATCTGCTGGTTCATTCTCAAATGGCTGCCATGGCCCTGGGAACAAGCTCAAAGATTAGGCCAGCCTCCTGTTGCTTTTCCAAGCCACAAGCAGGGAGCTGGATTGGAACTGGAACAGCTGGGAACCTATGGGACGCTGGTGCACCACTGTGCTTCCCCCCCACCCCCCGCTTTTTTTTTCTATTTGAAAGGGAGAGTGAGAGGAATCTTTGATCCACTGGCACACTTCCTAAATGGCCTCAACGGCCAGGATGAAGTCAGGAGCCTCTTCCTGGTCTCCCACACAATATGGCAGGGGCCCAACCACTAGGGCCATCTTCCGCTGCTTTCCCAGGCACATTAGCAAGGAGCTGGATCAGAAACAGGGCAGTCTGTTTGGGATGTCAGTGCCGCAGGCAGCAGCTTAACATGGTATACCCCAACACCAGTCCCAAGGTGTCTATTACTAAGCAAGAATTTGTGGCTGGGCATTTTTTTAATGCCTTTTCACCTCCCCTGTCTGCTGGTTCACTCTCCAAGTGGTCACAATCCAGAGCTGAGCCAATCTGGAGCCAGGAGCTTCTTCTGCGTCTCCTGCATGGATGTAGGGTCCCAAATCCTTGGGTCATCCACTATTGCTTTCCCAGGCCACAAGCAGGGAGCTGGATGGGAAAGTGAAGCAAGCAGATTATGAACTAGCAGCCATATAGGATCCCAGTGGATGCAAGGTGACAATTTAGCCACTAGGGCATAGCACTGGGCCCTTTTGAAAGGCAGAATAATAAAGAGGGAAAGAGGGATTTTTTCCCATTCCCTGGCTCACTGCCCTTATGGCCACAACGATCGGAGTGGGTCAGGCTGACGCCAGCAGGCTGGAGCTCCTTCTGGATCTCACACGTGGGTGCAGGGCTCCAGGGCTGTACTACTTCCATGTGTAGGTGCATTAGGAGGAAGCTGAGGCAGAGCAGCTGGGACTTAACGGGTGCGCCAATATGGAATGCCAGCGTTGCAGCTGATGGCCTAATCTTTTGCACCACTATTTGTTTGAAAGGCAGACAGGTTTTCCATCAGTTGATTCCATCTCCAAATGCCCACAACAGCCAGGGCTGGGCCAGGCTGAAGCCAGGAACTGGACCTGGATCTCCCAGATGGCAACAATCCCAAGACCCGAGCCCTGACCTGTTGCTGCCCAGCATGCCCATCAGCAGGAAGCTGGACTTAAACTCACTCTTAATCACTAAGTCAAATGTCCGTCGCCTTTACCCAAGTAGCTTTAGGTCAGAGGTCAGTGGTCAGTGCTTTTACCAACAATGATATCCCTGTGAGGTTTGTCAGCTCTGGCATTGGCAGTGCCCTGGGCAGCCCCATTATCAGCTCCACCCTGTTGCCCTCTGCCCATCACGACATGGTTGCAACCCTCACACTCACTGAATTCTAGGTGGGTGCACCATAAGACCCTGCGATACTACAGTTCAACCAGGAAGGAATTTGTTTCATAGGTTCGAAACTGTGCAGAAGCGAGTAGACACGGTGAACCTACACAATGAGAATGTCTGCCCATTTTCTTCCCAATTGCTCTTCCACTCCCAGTCAATCCTAATCCAACCTGCATCTGCATTCAGGCACACAGGAAGTGCAAGGAAGGAAGCTGACAACAAGCCACTTCCTTTGAAACTGATGTAAAGTTGCACACAGCCCGTCCAGGATCCTGGGGTCTCTCGAGGCTTTAGGAAAACAGCCTGGATGCCTCAGCGGCCACCTCTCTTGGCCAAGCCAGACCGGGCAGGGCCTGAACTCCCCTCCGAGACTTCAGGGCTGCACAGAGATGCACCAGGGCAGGAAGCAGAGACCCTGGCCTGCCACCGCCTGTGGCCATCCCTGTGCAAAGCCAGCTGAAGCCTGTGCAGGGCAGCTGCTGTGCCAGCAGCTAGAGTGAGGTGGGGCTGAGACTGCGACACGGCAAGTTCAGGAGGATGTCCATCACCCTCTGACAAGTCCTTAGAAGAGCGGTCAGCACATAACATGCTCAGCAAAAGTCGGCTGAGGGCAGGACCCTTGCAGCCCAGTGAGGGGAGAGGCCAGTGCAAGCAGTCAAGGAAACAGCAGCTGTGCGTTCTGAGGGTTTAAGCATGGGTTGTCAGGGGCCTGCAGGGGCGCCCAGAGAGCCTCCAGGAGGAGACGGAGTGAGAGTTATCTGCACAGCTCAGTACAAGTATCAGTGACAAGTCAGGTGACACCATAGCCCAAGCTCTCAGGTGCCAGATGGTGCTGAATGCTGGCTGGGCCCTGTTCTCAGGTCCTAAGGCAAATGGACTGTCTGCTTTACCCAGGGAAATTTGAAGTGCAGAGAAGTCCTGTGACTTGCAGGACAGGGCAGATCATCGTCTCCCCATCCTTGCTGAAGGGCCTGGAGCTCCATGCACTGAAGCAGGAAGCAATTTGCCCCCAGGATACCGGGAGTGAAAGGCAGAGCTGGTGGGGCAGGGCTGGGGCTCAGGAGTTGGCTAACTGCAGAAGAGCCAGGCTGAGAAGGTGGGCATCTCCTCTCTAAACTCTCCCTCAGCTACTACCAGAAGAAGCTGAAGGAAGGGACATACAGGGCCCACGTGGCGGACATGGCCACAAGCCGGCTGCGGCCGCAGAAGCAGCTTCCTTCTGGCCTGCAGCCCGCGGACAGCTTCGAAGTCCCAGAACGAAGAGTCCTCAGGATCTTGAGCCGACTGAAGCAACAAAACTATGGTGAGGGTCTGGGCCAGGTGGGCCGGGCTGCAGCTGCGTGGACGAGGACTTTTGCTCCCCTGCCCCATACCTCACAGCCAGGTGCTGAGAGGCCTGGTGCCCCCACTGGGCTTAACAAAGGGCCTCAGTAATCACCAACCCACAGGTAGCTCCAGGACACCGGAGCTCAAGCTGGGCCAGAAGGGGGCAGCTGCGAGACCTGCAATCCCAGCTCAAGACAGAGCCAGTCACCGAGCCAGGTCCTGGGCAGAAGGGCCGGGAGTCCATACTCATCATCATGTATTAACTGACCCGTTAGACACACAGTTACCACTGAAGGAAGTTCAAGCAGCTTGCCCAAGCTGTGGCATGGGCACATGAGTCCAGACTTCACCGGGCAAGGCTGCCTTTTTGGCTCAGGTGCTGTTTATTAAGACTTCCACTGTGTGCCAGGTGATGAGGTGTGGAATTCTCAGTTATTTCTAGAACGTGCCTATCAAAAATCCGCCAGGAGCTATCCTTTGGAAGCTGTCACTAGCTCTTCATCTGTGCTTGGTGGGCACAGTTACCCTTCAGTCCTCCAATGCTGGGGAGGATATCCCCTCAAGGAAGTGAAGCGACCTGCCCAAACCCTGTCCTCCGCTTTCCCCCTTGCAACGGTGCTCAAGCTGGAGCTTCCCCTGGGCCTGCCTGCCTCCTAAGGCTAGCATGCTCTGATGCTCGCCTCCTTCTCCACCAGCTGCCAACCTGCAGAGCCCCTATGCCCAGGTGCCCTGTATCCCGCTGTGCCCGCGGCTGGACAAGAAGATAGTCCAGCGGAAACAGGGCAGCCATTACGTGCTAGAGCAGTACACCTCCTCCAGCCTGGGCTCGGATGCTCGCTGCTGCTTCTACCAGCCGGGATCTCAAGGCAGAAGGCAGGTGCCCGGGGGTGAGGGCCTGGGCCCAGGTCTGTTCTGTGCTTCTTTCCCAAGAGGCCATGTGAATGAAGCCCTGCATGGAGCAAAGTGGGCAGCTTTCCAGGAGATACTGCCCAAGACTGCTTGTTCTGGGCAGGGGAAAGGGAGACAGGGCAGAAATGAACTTGCTGTGTCCCGAGTGGTCATTTCACCAAAGCCTTCCTGGGCCTGGGAACTGGGCACTTCTAGGGCTGGCATCCCCTCCCACATTAGCTCTTCTCATCTGGCTCCCCAGCAAGAGAAGCAGGCTTAGTGGCAGGGGAGGAGAAGGTCCTCTGTGGCAGTCCCCTCCCAGGCAGGCTTCAGGGGGAAGGGGTAGGCTCCATCCCTTGCAGAGAGAAGACTCCACTCCCACAAGGCTGGCTTGTCCTGGAGGGCCGTGGGGGAGTCAAATGTCTCCCCCCCCTCTACTCCCTCCCTGCAGAGAATACAGCTCTGACAGCAGGAAGTGGCTCAGCTCCGTACCAGCTCCAACTCCCTGACTCTTCTCTGGGCCCACGGGCGGGAGTTTGGTTGTATGTGGCCTGGTAAGCCAATAAACACCACAAACATCAGCCTCCTGCCAAGCCTACAGTCCATGGTCTCCCTGCCTCACTCGAGCTCAAGAACCCCCACAGCCCCCGCCTGGGCTGGGTTCCTGCCACAGGTGGCCAGAGAGCCTGCGCCGGCAGCCCCTCAGCGGAAGGTACAGTCTCCCCAGGGCTCCAAGGGAGTGATGGGCGTAAGGGAAGTACATGGGAAAGACAGCCCCTCAAAGCAGCAGGCACCTTAGCACATGCTCTCCAACACAGCCACAGCCCCTTGGGCTCCTGGGAGCACCCTTAGCCTCTTGCTCTACCAGTGTCTCCAGGGTGGTAGGCAGAGGGAGCGTCCAGGGTCACAACAACCATGGCAAGAGGGAGGCGACCAGGGACGGAAAGGAAGACAATGAGCTGACAAGTTTAAAACATGTATTTAAAATACAATTTATAAAATGCTGTATCTGCCGACTCAGGTGCCCGCGGGGCGGGTAGGGTAGGGGTGGGCAGCCGTCCGCATCGCCAGCAGCAAAGCCTGCCTGGGTGCGGCCCTCCCTCCCGGTTCCCTTCCGTTCAGACACCCAAGGGGCCCATGAGCACCCCTGGGGTCACACGACCAGAAACACAGGACCCCAGAGGGTTCTCGAACCTCTGCTTAGCAGGGAAGCTGGGTGTAGCCCTGCCGGCCCATCCCTGAGCAGAGCACCCCAGACAGGGCAGAGCAGGGTATGGCGGGGCAGGTGGGCTCTGGAAGGGGCTGATGGTAGCAGATGGGGTGTTGCCTCCTGCCTGCAGGTGGGGAGCACCCTCACTGAGTGGGCTAAGAAGGGTTAATCACCAGGCCCTGTCCCCCAGCTCCTTTGGTTATAGGCTGACATCGTAGTAGTGGCTCATGGGAAGCGGTTAGCTGGAAGGTCTGAGGCCTGGCTCATGGGGTCCGGAGTAGGGAGGGGGAGCCGAGGGAAAGGGACAGTACCCTGGAGGCAGATAAAAGGGCAGCAGCCTCCGGTTTCTGCCCCTCACCCCCACCCCCTGGGGAGTTCCAAGCCAAAGCCTGCAACTTACTTTAAAAAAAAAAAAAAAGGAAAAGGAGAAAAAGCACTTGAGGAAAGTTACAGACAACTACGAAAACAAAACAAAAACCCCACACAAAATCCAAACCGTTCTCCCTTCTCCCTTCCCGCTTCTCCCCAACAACACAATTCCTTTTGTTTGCTTTTTTTAATTTTGCCTGCCACCTCTCCTGGGGAACTGCGGGGGTGGGGGAAAGGGGCTGCTGGTGGGTGGTGCCAGGCACACAGCGGGCAGAGCCCCATCTTTGGCTGGAAGGAGGTGGGAGCACCAGTCCCTGCCACATCTTCAACCCAAAGACCCTTCCTGCCAGCCTCGCCTTGGACTCCCACAGGAGGAGGGCAGGGTAGGAGCGGGATGCCAGGGACTGGGGGGACGGCCCCTCTGGCTTTCCCACCTGGGCCAGAGCTGCCACTCCTTGAGGGATGGACACGAGATATTTCCAATGCGGACACTCGGCCAGGGCAGTGCAACTGGGAAGATTAGCAGCCATCTGTCCTCCTGCCTACTCCTGGAGGTAGTCACATGTCCTCTTGATGGCAGCCCCATTCCCACTCCATCCCCGGGGCCACCCCGAGCTCCACACCATCCCGTGCTAGGGACTGGCTGCTGACTCAACCAGCAGCTGGCCCTTCCTCCTGAAGGGAAGGTGTCATGGGACATGGCTCCACAGGGGCTGGCCTGGCATACCCACAGGGTAGGGCCGAGAACCAAGTGAGCTAAAGCAGGAGGGTTTCAACACCCCAACTCGCCACCCTGACAACCATGAGCTGCCCTCCATCACACACTGACTGGCCCAAACCCATCTGCTGGTCGGGAGCGGGCAAGCTGGCAGAGGGGTAAGGCGCAGTGCAAGGTGAGAGACCAGGAAGCAGCCTGCAAGGGGGCAGGGTGTACACACGGAGCTGTCCAGGGAGCAGTCCTCCTAGCCTCTTCCACTTCAAGGGGGAAAAAAAAGGCCCCAGGCTGCAGGGACAAAGGAGACAGTGCCTTCCCTGCAGCCCTGCCCTGGAAAGGGCAAAGGGCAGCTGAGGCTCCTAAGAGCCAGGCTGCCAGCACATGCTGCCTTTCCCAGCCTCACCTGGGGTCAGCTGCTCCCCAGGCACAGAAACAGCCCAGGGCTAACTACTGAGCTGGGTTATCCCAGGACAGCGAGCACCACAAGCTCCCCAGAGTCTGAGCCTTGCCGGGATGGGAAGATCTAGCTGCCTTCTGCCCATACCAGGCAGAAGGCCTGGAGTCCTCTCTGGCCACATGCTGACAGGGAAATACTGAACGAGACCACATTGCTTGCTTCAAGGCCCAGGTGGGTATCCCTCTCTGAGGCTCCAAGCTCTCTTCTTAAAGTGGCCAGTGGGAGCCACCCATGGGTCTGGAAGGAGAAGTCCCTTCACTTCTCCCAGTACACTTGAGGTGGGGGCTAGCACCCTCCCAGGCTCTCTGAGCCTGTCGAGCTAGCCCAGTCTCCAGGTAGGGTCTCAGCAGGGGTGGGGCAGGGAAGGGGGAGGTATATAGGCATGGGTGCTCACCTGTCCTTGGGGCTGCAAGAGCCCTGCCCCCTTTCTGGGTGGCAGTAGGAATACAGAAGCTAAGCTCACCAAAATCCTATTGGTTAATGTTTCCAGAGAATTATCCAGAAACATTTTTAAGTAAGACTACCAAACTATTCCTCTCAATTAAAAATTCATTAAACCACTAAAACCCCTCCCATGCACTTCTCTGGCAAATCAGGTATTTGTATAAACAAACAAAACAGGAAGGAAAAAAAAAAGAAAGGATATTTTCAAATGGAACTTACTTTTTAAGTGATGAAGTCATGCACTTGAGGGTGGGGAGGTGGGAGTTCTCACTTGTGTTTTGAAATCCCAAATTAATGAGCATGATAAACTGTTATTGCTGGCACTGGCTTTACCCCAAGTGGCCAAGTGGCACTGTCTGACTCTGAGTGCTTGGTGGGTCCCCCAAACCCTCCCCCGACCCCAACCCTCTCTCCCTTTCCATTGACTTGAGACAGCCCTTGTCGACGTGCCAATCACAGTGGGAAGGGGAGAAGGAGAGAGGTCACAGTGCATGGGGTTCAAGGTCACAGTGGGTGGAGCAAGGGGGATCACAGTGCAAGTAAGTCAGGTCGTTCCCTCTGCTCAAGTCCAGCTGTCGGCCACAGCAGTGTGACCTGTGGCAGACGACCCAGGAGGCGAAGACGGTGGCGGCAGCGGCAGCGGCATCCTCTCGCGCCTGCGTTTATCTGCGCTGTTTGAAGCCTTGTGACCCGTCAGGACCCAAGGGCTGTCTGATCACATTGTTGGGCTGTCTGCTGTCTTCAGGGTGGGAGATCCTGGGGGGCCTGAAGGGAAGAGGAAGGCCTGAAGGAGGACACAGAAGATTCCCCCAAATCCTAAAACACCGACCGTGCCTGCTGTGGGGGCAGCTCCAGTGGGGAGATTCCTTTGGGAAGGTGGGGCTATGGCTTTCCCCATGCCTCCACCCACTCCATGGGGGGTCACAACCACTCATCTGAGAGCAGGCCTGATCTGTCTGAAGACAATCACTGGCAGCATGCCCTCCCCAGAGCCACACGCACTCCCCAGGGAACAGGCCAGGGCCAGTCCAACAGGAGCTGGGCAGAGCAGGTCACACCTACCCACCTCCTGGGGACTAACACCTGATTCCTGCACTTCAGCAGGAAATCAAAGGAAAAGGATTTTTTCATTCTGGTAAAGAAGTAACAGAATGGATCTCCCTTGAAAATAACAAAGGGGCAGAGAGAAAGTATGCAAATGGACTTAAGTCCAAGAAGCCCCTCAAAGTCAGAGCTTGCTAGGATGTGACACTTTGTAATGTAACTTCTACTGCAGAGAAAATACTGCTAAGAGTGACTATGAGATTAGGAAACCCATCAAGGCATCACAGAGGGCTCCTGTAACACTGAGACCCTGCGCCAGCACCTTCCATGGACTGGGCAGGATCAGCCCTCATCTGCTGCCACCTGCTCCTGTATTCGCTGGGTCACCCAACTCGCTAAAGCAGGCATGAAACACGGTCCCATTCTCCGGATGAGGCAGTGAGGCTGGAGAAGAGGGAGTTCGGGGTGAAGCAGAGCTGAGTGGCAGACTGAGCTACCCTGCAGAGGCTGCCAGCCCCCATCTCCTCAAAGCACCTGCCGACTTCCAGAGCCAGACAGACCAACCAAGCAGGAGACTGCAAATGAGGGCTGGGCTCCTGCCTGCTGTTCAACTCCACAGAGTCAAGCCTCTTGAGGAGGGGGCACTGCCAAGAGGCCGAGGGCCAGCCCTGCCAGCCCCACTCACCTGTCGAGGGTGGGTTTCTCCTGCTCCTCTTCAGGACTGGCACTACCCAGGATACGCTTCCGGGCCTCTGCGTACTCGGCTTCCCGCTGTGCTAGGGACTTGACCGGAAGGGCTGGCCTGCTGGTGGCGTTGGGGCTGTTGACCACCCCGTTGCTGGTGGGCCTCTTGAGGATGCGGATCTGTGGAGGGGGCCCGGCGGGCAGGCTATCGTCTTGAATCACAATGGGCACTTTGGGAGGAGATTTGGATTTCCTGCTGACAAGAGCAAACACAGCTTCACAAATCCTGCCCTCCCTCTCGGGCCCACCCTCAGCATTTGCCCTTCGGCCCTCCCACCCCTGTTCACTAGCCTCTGGCCTCTCACCAGGCCTCACCAAGGGCTTCTCCAAATGGCAACCTTGCCACAGCTCTGCAGTGCACAGGAACGGCAGCTCCAACCTGAGCTGGCCAAGGAGGCTGGACCACCACCTGCCAAGTTTGGGGACTTTCAGCCCCAAGTTCCTCACAGTCACCTCCACCACCGCTTGGCAACACATTCCACATCCAGACTCCAATGAATGCAATTTGAATCTCAGTCGCCTCCACAGGCCAGGGTGTGTGGCCAGGAGTCCACACTCAGCATGGCGCTTCCTCACAGCAGGCAAACACGCCAAGCCTGCCTGGCACCTAGACAGGGTTTACCAAATGGCTTTCCTGTGGGTGCACCCTGCGCCTCCCCGAGACAAAGCACACCAGACACCGAGTCAGCTCAACCAAGAGCTTGCACAGAGAAACCTCCCTCACTGGCTCCCCGCCTCCTGGGCACGGCGAGGCTGGCGTTCAAACCTGTCCTTGAGACAGCACTTGGCAACGCTCTCCTAAGAAGCACTGTTCAAGGTTGGTGGGCATGCGCAGCAAGGCCATGTGGCCTCAGGAGAGATGGAGCCACGGAAAAAAACAAGAGGGAAACAACACAAGGAAGGAAACACCACACCATGGGAGAAGGGGGCCGAGGCAGGACCGGCCATCACCACAGCTGCCAGGACCCTCCCCTAGCCCTGCTAGTTTCTCTCCAGAACCAACCAGAGCCACAGTGGTTGGAGGGGTAGGGACTGGAGGGACGGCATAGTAAGGATTCTGTGACCAGGGGTTAGTGAGATTGCTGGGATGAGCAGGCAGACAGGGAGTCAGGGAAGCTGCGGGCAGGCAGCAGCCCAGAGTTCCTGCGAAATGACTGTAGCCCATCAAGCAAACCCAGAGAGGCCCTGCTCTCCTTCCTGCCACTCAAACCTATGGAAATCCGACCAATTCCCCAGGCCCAAAGAGAGCTCAAGTTGCCTTTCACCTGCTCTGGAAACCCACTTCCTCTGCTGGATGGCTGGGAACAAAGTTGAACTTAAAGGTCTTCCACGCATTTCCTAGACTCTTCCTTATAACTTCACAACCCTAAAGCACCAGATGATTAAGGCCCAGAGACAACATCTCTGCCAATTCCTGCCGGCACACAGGCACCCAGGACCAGAGCGGGAAAGCACACAGCCAGGGCTCAGAGCCACGGGCCCGAAACCCACACCTTCCACCTTGTTCTCCCCACTCACCATCAGACACCACAGCGCGACCCAAGAAGCTGGGAGGTAGGAAACCTGCCAGCCTCACTCCCAAAGCCTCTAGCCACCTCCTCCTGGTCTCTAATTCACAAGGGTGTGCTGGCCAGGCGCCTGACCTGCTCCGCCTCAGGGCCAGCTGGAGGGCCCCTCTGACTGCCCAGCTCTCGAGTGGCAGACAGCACAGGCCTCAGACCAGACAGGAGCCTTACCTCTCCTTTTGTGTGATCTTCAGTTTTTTTTCCAACCGTCTGTCTATTTCCTAGAGGAAAAAAATGTATATAAAAAGTGGAAAAAATCTCTCTGGAATAAAAACTCAGGTCTTTATTTTCAGAGATAAAGGCAATGTCTCTCTGGCCAGGGACACAACCATGTCCTTCAGGTAATGGACATGGACTGGACTCAGGGGTTTGAGACCTGACTCCCTCTCCCTTCAACCCCCGTGGCTGCAATAAGACTTCTAGACCTCACTGCTGAGCTAACATCAGCACAGCCTCTGATCAGTCAGCTGGCCTCCAGAGAGCCATTCCAATCAGCTTTCTAAATCAAGCCATCCTTCAGCTGCACGTAGGACCAGGCAGCACAGCCTCCGGCGCCAGCACCCGTCTGGATCACCTGACCCTGTCCTGGGCTATGGCATACTGAACCACTGTGACCCCTGGAGCCCAGCACACAGCTCCACGGGCAGCAGTGTCCTCTCCCTTCACAAACTCCCAGGCCCACTGTGACACATGTCACAAACAACTTACAGTTAGTCTGTTTTCTGTTTGGATTCAAACCCTGTTTGATCAGCACCTAGCAAAAGGCCGAGAGCATAGCAGAGGCTGCGTGCGGGTGCAGGAGGCAGGAGCTCAAGGAGCTGCAGGCAGACAGCTGCTGGGGGTCTGGGGAACAGGCAGTGCAGCAGGAGTCCCTAGAGCCAGAGCCCAGTGAACTCAGAACCATCACTTCAGAAAAAAGCAGGAGCAGAAGGTGGGACAGCCTTCTAGAACATTCTGGCCCTGCTCTCCCAGCACAGAGGCCAGGCCACCCCCAACCAGTGGGAGCTCCCAGGGCCCTGCACTAGGAACTTCATGCCATCTCCACACAGCCCAAGTCAGCACCTCCCATGCTGGAAGAGGGAAGGCGAGGCAAGCTGTAAGAAGGCAAAGCATGAGTGTCCAGACTTTTTGCCTGCTTTGCTGATTTTTCCTCATAAAATGTCCTACTCACTGAGGGCAAGACCATCCAGTACTGGAGAAAATACACGCAAAACCCTGTGTCTCCCGAGAGTAGATAGTAACAGGGGGTCTCACCCGGGGCGGTGGGCGCCCAGGGGCACAAGGCTGAGTCACTGCACAATCCCACACCCTTGACAGCCCCGCTGCTGGACGGCCAGAGGTGCTGCGCAATCCCACTCCCAGACAGCCCCATGCAGACAGTTCCTCAGTCCAGGCTGAGGAGTCCTGACTTGGGATGAGTGCCAGCTGTCTGAGTGGGTGCTGCCCACGGCAAGGTTCACCAGCTTCTCCATTCTTCCCAATCTATCTGATCTACGATTCCAGAAGGAACAGCGTTAGTCTTGCCAGGAAATTAAAGTTTATCATTATGAAGTAATCTTTCTGACCTTAAACTATTGTTTACTAGTAATAAAGCTGGCTGAGCCTCGTGGTATTACCTGGAATAGAGTTCCTCTTGCCCTTCCTTGTAAACAATATGAAGACATTTAAATCCAGCCTGACGTGAACTCTGGTTCTGACTGGTGCCGACCAGAGCTGGGAAACCTTCTACCTGCCAAGCATCATCTGGGCACTTCTAACCTCGTAAGAGTCACATAAAACCAGGAACTGAAAAATTAGCCTGTGGCACATGTACTGAATTTCTGGTACTGCCAACAGCTGCCTTGGCAGGGCCAGACCCAACGGCCAGGCCTGAGCTGATCTGAGGCCAGGAGTGTCTCCCATGTGAGCACAGGGGCTCAAGGCTTTGGTTCATTGCCTACTGCTTTCCCAGGCCCCATCTGGGATGCCGCCACCACGACGTGGAGGATTAGCCTGGGGAACCACGGTGCTGGCCTCTGAACCACCACAGAGCCTTGGTTGTGACTGAGAGGGATGCATGACAATATAGGTCTCAGAGTGGAGAGGGTTGGTGCAGGAAGGTCGGTGAGACAAATGTTTCATTTTTTTTTCCTCCTGTGTCTGCTGGGGAGGAAGGGACTGGGCTGGGCTGCTGCTTGCTGTCAAACTACATCAGCACTCGGGGATGGGGGCAGTCATTTGAGAAGGCTCTGGAAGTCACGGGGGTGGCTGTGACAGTTCTGAGACTTGGCTGGCTTTGTGTATCCACATCAGGTCTGCTATTTTACAAGAAATTTAGTTCCAGATGTTCATGGGAAGGCTCTGACATTTTAACTTCTTTGTGTAAATTCTCACATTCTCATCACTGTGAGGATCAACAAGGAGACCTGCAAGGCTCACGGGCCCCAGCACACCTTCAGGATCTTGGGGGGGTGGGAAGGGTCCCATCAGACTGCTCTCAGGGAAGAGGGCCAGCGTCCGCCTGGCCAGGAAAAAGAGTCTTTCAAGAAGGCATTATGGGCCACATCCAGCTAAATGGGCCTCTATCCCCCAACTAGAACGAGATGACCGCCCTTGGTACACACTATCACTGGGTTTAGAACAATGCCTGACTTTAAGGTATACTGCTGGTATAAGCTGTCATGGCTGCTGTGTTTTGTCCTCACCTTGAACCCACGTTGCCCCTTGGCACTCCTCTAACTAAAATGCCCATCCAACTCCATCACACCAGACCCAAGTGGCTGTATCAGAGAGGGAGAGCAATTCTTTCGTTAGATGACAGAGTGGCTTATAAACCTAAGCAGCTCTAATGGAAAACAGATCCTGGTCAGAACCAGATGGCTGCTGGACACCGACGTGCCCACAGCCAACCACTCAAGGGAGGGAGCTTCTGCCAACAGCCAGAGGGCACTGTGCCTGGCTCTGGAGTCTGCCCCGGCAGCAGGAGCCTGGCCACTCTCTGCTTAGACAAGGCCTTACACTCAGTCTGCTCCAGACTGAGTTCTCAGCTAACATCCTTCCACCAGGGACACCCCAAGAAGGAAGTGAATCTCCTGCACAGCCATGACGGCTCGCGAGAACTGTGCAGGCCCGTCATACTGAGGGCGGGAGCCTCCAGGCAAGGCCTGGAATGAGCAGCTGCCCCACAGGGACACAGCACCCTGCAGCAGGCCAAGACTCCTGTGTTATAGGCCAGGGAGAGAGCCCCCACTCCATGGCTCTGTTTGGAACGGGCACGGGGGTGGGGGGCAGCTTCCCCCGCCAGGATTTCATCTTTTGCCAAGGAGCACCAAGCAGGCTCTAGACCGTAACAGTAAATTAGGATGTCACAACCTCTTTTGTTCTAGAAAGCACAAACTAAAGAGCTGTGTCACAGAGCCAGGGGTGTGCAGCAGCAGGATCAGCTGCCGTTCCCAATGTCGCCATCCCATAGCAAAGGTTGATGAGAGACGCAGAAGATCTTCAGTTCAATGATTCACTCCCCAAGCAACCACAAGGCTGGTGCTGCGCTGCATTGAAACCAGGAACCAGGAGCCTCTTTTGGGTCTCCCACACAGGGTCCCAAGGCTTTGGGCTTTTGGCCGCAAGGAGGGAGCTGCATGGGAAGCGAGGCTGCTGGGATTAGAACTGTAGCCCATATGGGATCCCGGTGCATTCAAGGCAAGGACTTTAGCCGCTAGGCCACAACACCCGGCCCAGAAAAATAATCTTAAAAAGCAACAACAAACACCTGTATTATTTATCTTCGAGGGCTATGACCTACAACAACAGAATATGTACTGCTTGGTCTGAGAGAGCAAGGGAAGCCAGAAGAATGAGTGGGGTCAGGTGGAGAAGGAGCTGGTTCTGGGCGGGGTTGTTCCCTGTGGGGAGGCACAGAGTGGCCACAATCATGGGGTGAAATGAAGCCAGACACCACTGCCTGCTGATGCCACTCACCCAATGATGAGCTCTGAGCTGCTGCCTTAACCTTGCGACACACTGTGTGAGCCTCTGGCAGAGAGCTGGGGCATGGAGTGTGCTAGGACCAGATCACTCCCAAGGAAGAGGGCAGGCCAAAAGTCACCTCAAACCGCCTCACTTATGACCCAGTCACAGTCTGGGAAAGGAACAGAGCAGACAGACAGGCTGAGGGTGTGCCTGTACGGAAAGACAGGTTATGAGGGCAGACTCCTGCAGTGTCAAATGGGGAGAATAGGGAGGGGAGAGCCAGTGGGCTGCTGCAGGGACCGAGGGCTGCACAGCAGGTGCAACTTCTTCCTCAGTTACAGATGCTCAAGGTCCACCTGCTCGGGTCCACCCTGGGGAGACAATGCCTTCCAGGATGGAGTCAAAGGAGCTAAGCTCAGAAGATGGAGAGAACCAAGCTGAATCCTCACAGGCTGTTCCAGGAAGCAGAAGGGGGCCTCTTCCTTGTGGTGCCTGATCTGCGGCTCCCTGCTCCCCAGGGCTGCTCCCTCAACCCGTCCCACTCGGTTCCCAGCCAAAGGGGCGGAGCACACTGTCCTGCCTCATCACAACCAGGACTCCCTGGTCAGCCGGTGACCAACACCATTCCTGAGATGGCAATGATGCTGCATTTGGGGCGGGGGTGGAGGGAGGTAACAGACGTTGCTGCCTCCAGCCTCCTTCTAGGGGCAATGGAATTCTTTTCCAATAGCCTGTCTTCCTCTTTGTTAGTTTCCATTTCCTCTCTCATTCAAGGAAAAAGACACATGACCTTGAGTCCCCTGTGCCCCAAGGAATCATCCGGTCCTGTGCAGCCACCCGGATCCGGGCACACTAGTCTCCCAGAGATGGGAACTCCAGTACAACACAACCATTTCAGAAAACAGCAAAAACAGACGCTGAAAAAGAGCACAAAATGGGGCATCCTGGCCCTCAACTCCTGCCACAGCAGCCAGTGCCACGTCAGGCTAATCTCTTCAAGTCTTGGGCAGCAGCATGGGAACCATGCCCCTGGGCCACACCTGAGTTGGGGTCTCCCAGAAGAGCCATCTGACCAGTCTGGTGCCTGAAACTGCCATACATCACAAATCTGGAGGAGATGCTGACACCTCCCATGGCAGTCCAAGTCCACTTAAGAATGAAGCCCAAAAATTCACAGGAATGAAGCCCAAAAATTCTTAGGTCCAATCCACAACAGATTGGACAACAGATTGTCCAAAGGTCTCTGGGGTGCTTGCCCACAGAGATCTGGCCA